CTTCTTACGCCTGCAGATCCATCTTCCAACAAATTTCTCTTGATATTTCTCCACCTTCTTCACCACCCACCATGGTTTCCCTGTTGTGAACACGATATATCCCAGACTAAGTCCCAATACCAGTCCACACCCACAGCCCGCCAATGCAAACTTCCACTCAAAGAGTGCTGCAGAGTCATCTTCTTCATCAAATTTTGATGGAGGTGCTCCTGGTTCTTCCTCCTCGTGGCATTTCTTTGTCAATGGGAATCCACACAACCCAGAGTTCCCAATGTAGGAATCATTTGAGAAAGTATTGAACTGCTTACCTTGAGGAACCTCACCTTCAAGTTTGTTGTGTGAAAGGTTCAAAACTGAAAGAAATGTCAAACTTGTCAACTCCTCAGGAATCCTACCATCAAGCTTGTTTGATGAGAGATCTAGTGATTCAAGTTCTGTCATTTTGCCCAAAGATGATGGAATTTGACCAGTGAGACTGTTGTGAGACAAGTTTAGCAAGTGAAGTGAATTGAGTTCTCCCAGCTCTTTCGGAATGTGTCCATGGAATCTATTACTTGAAAAATCAATAGTTGAGAAAGTTGTCAGGATTTTCTTCAGCTCCACCTCTGAACCTTTCATTATTATTCTCACAGAATCATCATAGTACATTCTATACTCTGACGGCTGGTTTAGGTCATGTATACCAAGATATTCCACATTGGCTTCATCTTCATGTGCATCTCTCTTATCTGTCAAATTTTTGAAATACTTACTTGGTAGGAGACCCGTGAAGTCATTATGTGAGACATCAATGACTCTCAACTTAGAGAAGTAAAATGCAGGCATAGAGTTGTTAATGGCACCATGAAATCGATTAGATTGAAGGATGAGAACTTTTAGCGATGGAAGAACACCCAACCAATGTGGAAAGGTGTCATTCAAGTAGTTGTTCCCAACATCTAGAACTTCCAAGTAACTGCAATTTACCAAAGATGATGGCAGTCTCCCTTCCATCTGGTTGCCATTTAGGTTAAGAGTTCTCAGTTCACTCCATTTGACAAAAGAATTTGGTATTATACCATGAAACTTATTCATCTGCAAATCCAAGATGTTGAGATATCTAATGTTTCCAAGACATTTTGGGATTTTTCCTACCAAACTATTATTAGCTAAGTCTAGAATTTCAAGATCAATCAAATAGCAATAGGCAGAAGGGATTCCGCGGGTGAAATTATTCCCTGAAATGAAGAGTTGTATTATACCAGCATCCAAAGTTGCTGTTAGAATGGGAAGTGATCCTTGTAGTAAGTTGGATCTGAGGTCAACAGTTAAAAGATTTCCAAAACCAAATGAATCTATGCCAGTCAAGAAGTTATAAGAAAGGTTTAATGTGGTCAATGACAGCCCTTCTATTTCCCATTTGTGAATTTGACCAGAAATCTTGTTCTTGGAAATATCCAATATCAGCAAAGCCTCTGCCTTCCTTAAGAAACTTGGGAACTTGTGTATGTTGCAAGAAGATAATATAAAACGCTCAAGCTTTGGAAAGGAATAGTTGACACTAGTGCCATTATTGCTCAAGGACAGCAAACTATTATTGGAAAGATCCAGATCCCAAAGGTTTACAAGTTTTGAAAGCATGTTGGCTGTAATGGTGCCACTTAAATTATTTGAAGAAAGGTGGACTCTACCAAGACCCACAAGATGAAAGAAAGAGCTAGGAAATGAACCACTTATCTCATTATTGGACAGATAGACTTCTTGTAAATTGAGATTAGGCATCTCAACACGATCAATAGATCCAGTAAGTCTGTTGTTCCGGAGGTCTAAATATGATAAAGAAGGCAGAGAAAACAACCAAGATGGTACACGACCTGTGATGAAATTATTATCCATTTGAAACTCATATAAAAATGAGAGTCCACTTATATTGTGAGGAAGAGGCCCTATTAGCTTATTTGATGACAGTATCAAATGAGTAAGATGGGTGAGGTTGAAGATTGATGTAGGAATTTCACCATCAAAACTGTTATCAAAAAAGCTTAAATAAGTTTAGCTTGTGCATTTTTCCAAAAACATCCGGAATTTTCCCTTGCAAAAGACAATCTCTTAGGCTCAAATGCTCCAAGGAAGAAGTCAAGTTTAGCAAGGAAGAAGGCACAACCAGAGACATATTCACAGAATCAAGGATAAGAAACCTTAATTCTGTTAAGTTATGCACAAGCATTTGAAACCTCATGTTGTCAAGAAGCAAACCATAAGTACCAGAGAGATCGAGAGAAACCAATTTCAATAGCAAGAAGATCTCATCAAACAGGAGAGAGCCATCCATATATCCTGAATCTGCAAGGTTAAAGATTTGTCACATTAGAAGAAGTGAAACCAATTTTGGAAGCCTGGAGATTTTAAACAAAAGAAAAAGAAATGAAATCTCATACGTGAAAGATTAAGATATGTCAAAACTCTTCCAACGGTCGAACCCAAAAGAGAGATTGGGGTAGCTAAAATTGTTGTAAGCAAGGTTGAGGCTCTGCAATTTCTCAAGGCGGAAGAGACTATTATTTGTAGTTAGATTGGCTTCAAGACAATTACTGCTAAGATCAAGGCCAATCACGTGACCTTTCATCTTGTTGCATGTGATGCCTTCCTACAGGCAGCAATCTTTACTCTCGTTCCAAGTTTGTATTATAGGACGAGGACCACCAATACAGTATACCGCCAAATCAGTAGTGCTTTTGAAATGAAGCAATGCAGAACGCTCTTCAGGAAGGCACAAATGTGGCGGTGAAACAAGAGAAGATTGAGAATGTGAGGAGCTTTGGACTCGAAACTGTAACAACATGAAGGAAAGGCAGAGGATTTGGGAAAACCATATTAACCTTCCCATTTTTTTCAAGATGAACGCAAATCGGGAAACAAAGGAGTGATAGATTATTCAAAATTGTAGGGCTAGACACAAGAATTTATAGTCTTCCCAACAGTAAAAGTCCTTTTTCGAGTTACGTGTAAAATTTTTTAGCACGATCAAATTTTTTATTTATTTTTTTATAAAAAAATAATATTCACACAATTAAACATTCTTTTATAATTTAATAAAACTATTTTTGATATTACACATAATCAAACTTCTTTTTTATTATTAGCTCACAAAATTAACTTGAAGTGAGGATTGTAGATCGGTATAATACGTGTTAGAGCACCATGCTTCAAAATCACTTAATAGTTGCATTTAATGTTTTGATAATTTTTGCATAGCACGACTCTTCGACTTGTTATTATAAAGTTAGTTCTCTTCAACTTGTTATTATTCTTGGTGTTAGAATGCATGGCATGACTCTTGTATGTATTAAATGAAAATGAAAATAATATAATTATAGTACTATGTGGCATTGTAAATTTATAATACAATGTATTATTCTATAATTAATTCTTTTTATTTAAAAATTCACATGTAATATTTTATCCATTCACTTATTTAACAATGCATTATAATTATATATTTATAATTATATAATACTGTAACTATAATATTATTAAAATAAAATATTTAACAAAAATTACATAGAGAAACATAACCCAACGTAAAAGTTAGAATGCTCCATTTTCTTATAATAGTATAAAAAAATTCATCTAATTTGTAAAAGGAGCGGAGATATAAGTTTCTAACATTTTTTCTGTATTTGTTTTACTTTTATGATATAATATATCTTCAAATATTGCCTAACAATATAATAATCAGCACTAAGTCAAAGTTCCTCATAATTTACAAAACAAGGTCTAAAGTAATACTAATATG